CCGCCGCCCTGGCTCCCTCCTCCGCCCTCCCGCGCCGCCCGCAAGCGGGTCCACCCGCTCCGCACCGCGCCGCCGCCGGCAGGGGGCGGAGTCGCGAGCGCAGCCCGTTGCCAGGCCAACCGCAGGCGGGGTCTGTCGCTCGCCTGCCCCGCACCACGCGCTGCCGCCGGACCACTAGCTCCGGCTCGTTTCCCATTGGGCGATAGTGACCGACGGACGTACAAACCGCCCAGTAACGACAGACAGGGGCGGGGCCGCGGCTGTCTGCGCGCCGCCGTACCGCACGCGCTGCTGGCTCCGGCGACTGTGGCACTGCACTGCGCTGAGCCTCGCCGAAGCCGCTTCTAGCGTCTGGGGAAACCCACCCCGAGAGAGCATCGTAGCCCTGGTTCCTTGCACCCTGCTTGCCTCGCCTTTGTCTATCCCTCAGTGGGGTTCGAACTCAGCCCCGGCAACCTACTCTCCCACCCGTCTCTTTGCAAAGTGCTGTCGGTCCTGGCTTCCTTGGATGTTTCAACAATCCTTTAGGGCGCGTGAAAACGCTGATGGGCTAAGCTAGCGAGGTTTGCGCAGCATGTCGTTCGTCTTCTCTTCTGCTCTCTTTTACAGCATGTAGGGGGGTACTTATAGGAGTTCCTCCCACCCCAGCAGAGAGAAGCCGAAGGGAACCAGATTCGTGAAGTACCTGCCCCCTTTGGAGACGCCCCAGGAGACATCAGATCTTTGGCAAAATGCACCTAAGTGCAGGCCGTGAGATTCTGCCTAGTATCAGGAGGAGCCTATGTGTGGGTCTTGGCTGGGGGCACCTCATTCCTGTACAAGAAAGTCTCAGACCAGGGGGCCACCAGAGTTGTGCTTCTCTATCTTTCCCTCCTTGTAACTCTAAGCTTATAATGTGTCTGGGAGCCCAGGGTGAGGTGGGGAGCCATGGCTACATGTTGGTGCCCGCCAGCCGGATGCTTTGGAGGCAGGGCATCATCCCACCATCTCCCTGGGAATGGTTCTCCTGCTGTGAAATGGGGACTGTTGTACTGCATACGCGGGGGACGAGGGGGCTGCAGCCCACCTGTGAAAGCGCTGCCTAAACTTTTAGGGAAGGGACAGGTCCTGGTTATAGGCACTGCTGAGGCCAACCTAGACATGGTACAATGCATGACCAATGAGGACCAAAGGAATTCTGCTAATGATTGAAGAACATGTCTACCAAATCAACAGGCTGTGGGGCCAGTCTCCTGTCACTGGGACCGGGCTGAGAGCCAGTTTCCCAATCTGTTAAAGAGGGCACTATAGACTCCTGAGAGGGTTAATGTATGTAGGAAATAAGTGATCAGGGCTCGGTGGAGGCAGTTTCCACAGCAGACTCAGGGGTCAGACTTCAGCGCTTTGCAGAGAGTAACACCAATGCAAGAATTAGATTACCCCCTACAGCATTCCAGGTGGGGGAGCAGAGGCTAGCCCCTGAAGTGTATACCAGGGCTGGTTGCTGCCTCCTGGACCTGATCCTGGCAACTACCTCAAAGTGAGAGGCTTTGGTGTCACCTGGTCTTTTGCTGGTGGCCTCCACGTGGTGCATACTTCTAGCGTATAGCTCTGCACCCTTTTAGAAGACCCTCCCTGGTCGCTATAGAGCAGGGGGTAGAAAACAGCAGAAGCATTCATCCTTATAGTTACACAGTTGTAGCAACCCGGTGGGGGCCTTGGGAGCACAGGGCAGGGAGAGCAGTGAGCGCTGGGATAGCTTTATAAAGATAGGATGCTTGGGCTGGGGCTATGGCAAGAGCAGGATGGCCAGGGATCAGAGAGAAATGAGTTCCGAGGTGGGCACGAAGGAATGTGAGCTCTGTGGAGAACCTAGGAAAGGCCACCTTATCCACACTAGCACCCACCAAACACACAAGGATACTAGGGATAGTCACAACTAGCTAATGACCCGTGAGTATGGTTGGAGAGGTTGGCTTAAGAACCGGCAGAGAAATTTAAGATTAGCTCTTTTTCATACCCGAGAAGGCGAGTGGTAGGTAGGGTATTAGCTGTGATAGGCATGAGCTCACAGACATGGCGAGCTGTGTTGCTGGGAATAATCAGATAATGAAAATATTAAGGAGTCCAGCTCAAGAAAATAAGAGCAGGCTGAGAAGTCAGTCTACAAGGCCTGTTGGATCTGCGGAATCACAGGGACATCTATTCCCTGATGACTTGTCCCCCAGCCGGCTCTCCACTAGCCTTCCCGATATCCTGGTGTGGGCTGGGGGTGTCCTGCTCCTCTCTGGAGTTTCAGCCACCCAGGGCCTCGCCTTTAGAGAGGGCACCTGTCCTGGCAGGCTCTTTTTCTGTGCTCTGACTATCTTGCCTCTGAGACTCACTGATTCTCAGGCTGTGGCAGCCGGGTGGGTTTCTGCACTCTGTTTCTCTGGGGTCCATGTATCCCATCCCCCACTTCAACATTCCAGACCGCACCTGGGTTAGTTATAACCAGCCAGGCCAGCCACTTGTCTTTTAGCTGAAGAGAAACAATGTAAATGAACAGAAAAGACACACCCCTCACTAACTTTGTTTCTGATTTCCCCCCTTGGCCTCAAAGTGAATCTTGGTCCCAAGAAAATCTGAGCTGCTGAGGGTCCTGGCCCTGCCCTCGGCTGGCAAGTCCTTGGGCATTAGACTTGCTCCCCCGGGACTCCAGGGAAGGGGGCTAGATAGAGACAAGGAGAGTACCTCTAATATTATAACTTTTCTGACCTCCTCTTCCTTCATCCTTCCCCTAACCGGTGTCTGTCTCAACTCAGCCGGTAGTCTCCGGCAGCAGGGACTCCAGCCCCCAGGGTTCCTCGGGGAAGCTTAGACACAGGTGCAAGTCAGGGCAGAATCAAGTCCCAGTTAGAAGACTTCTACCAATGTTTAACACCACCGAGGCCCAGCTTCAGTGCTGAGGAAACTAGGCTCAGAGATGAGGTAATAGGTCCAAAATCACCCAGCTGGGAAAAGACACAGTTAGGTGTCAAATCTAGGCTTTGGAATTCTGGGTGGGAAATGAAACACAAACAAGTAAAAAACAAACAAATCCCCAAACCCAAATCCCCAGTTCATTGGAAGCAGTAAGTAGGAAGGTGGCTTCCCTGAGCTGTCCTGAGACCTTAGAGCACGAATGGGCAGAGCTCGTTGCTACACTCAGGCACCCCAGGGAGAGGCTGGATAAGAGCACCAGGAGCCACTGGTTATCAGGGAATGTGAGGAGCAGTGAGAGCTGCTGAGATCCCCGTCCCCACCTCTCCACCCCATCACCACAGTCACCTGCCATCTGACATCCTCAGGGACCGAGGAAGGAAAGCTGGGGTGATGCCCGCAAAGAGGAAATTCCCTGGTGCTAATTGCCACTGAGAGACCTTTAGGCTAATTAACCTGTTCATTTGCCTCTCTAGAGTAAATTAGAGGGTTTAACTGGGGAGACTGAAAGAGAGATGTTTGCTGGTGGCCACCTCCTCGGGGGCAATGGGAGGCTTTGTAGTGGGCACAGTGGGCTGCTGGAGAGGCTTGGCAGAGGGGCTGGCTGCCAGGAGGTAATCACAGGTGGCCCTTGTGTTGCAGGGAAGAGAGCTAGCTCTCTTGTGTTCCCTTTTCATTGCGGTGAATTGGGAAGGCTGCTCTGATAGCCTGGAGCTTCCCGGGTTCTCCAGAAGGAGAGGGGTAGGTCCTGTTTATTGGGGGGCGTCTTCTGCTGCTAGCTTCTGCGCCCTATGGGTTGGTTATAAAATGCCCCTCCCTACAGGTTCATGCAACTGAGCATTCGGTCCCCAGCTAGTGGCACTGTTTTGGGGAGATTGTGGAGCCTTTAGGAGGCGGAGCCTAGCTGGACGTGGGCCAGCTGGGGTATGCCTTAAAGTTTACAGCCTGTCTCCCCCATTACTGTCCAATGTGTGCTTCCTGTTCTGCAGAAACGTGAGTTGGTAAGGTGTCCCAGTTTTGTGTTCCCACTGCTATGGAGCCACCCATGGTCATGCCTTCCCTGCCATGACAGACTGTTCCTTCAGGGCTCATGTCACTTGTGTGTTTAGTCACGGCCGTGAGAAAAGAAACCAACACAGCCTGGCCCCAGGGACTTCCAAAACCCCTTGGCTAGAGTCCTGTCATTTTTAGATGGGAACACAGATCTTTGGGGGGGACAGGAGATCCTTTTTTACACCCCCAAACGTTCCATCTCAGGCTCTATTCCAGGCTCCAGAAGCTTTGGCATAATTTGGATGTGAAAGGAAGTCCAATGCTTCCCCACCACTCTGGAGGGAGTTTGGTTGGTGTTTCCTTTACCTCTGACAAAATAACTTGAGAAACTCAGTGTGAAGGAGAGAAGATTGACTTTGGCCCCTGGCTTCCCAGGCTTCGGTCCATGTGCACGTGGCTTTATTGCAGAGTATCACGAAGCAGCTGGGGGTAGAGCAGAGCTGCCCGCCTTATGGGTAGGTGGGGGCGAGGTGAGACAGAGAAAGGGGAGAGGGGAGGAGAGGAAGAGGTGGTGGTCGGAAGCAAGACATTGCGACCTACTTCTAATAGATTCCACTTTCTATTAGCTCATTGCGCTATGAACTAACCGTGGATTAGACCAGCGATGAGGCTAATTAACGAAGTAAATGCCATGATGAGCCAGCCAGTCACCTCTTCACTGAGGCACCTGCTGGAGAACCAAGTCTTTAACATATGAACCTCTAAAGATATTTTACATCCAAACCATAATAGCATGGGAGAGAGAAGGTCTCTCTCTGTAAACCTGGATCTGCTGCAGGGAGCTGCAACCTCTCAGGCTGCCTGCCACGCAACTGCTTGTCAGTGGTTGATGCCTTCAAGGCACAGGGAACCAAAGAGTGTCCGACTTTTGTCCCTTCCAGGGCCACACTTCTTCAGACATACTGCACCTGTGAACTCCTGCCCACTCCTCGGGCTCGATCCCCTCACCTAGGTGGGCCAATCAGTATTGGGGAAAGGACACTTTAATGCCCTTTCCTGTTCTGCAGGTGCCCGGGGCATCGTCAACAGTGGCCTGATCCCCTCGCTGGTATGGAACCTGCATTCAGAGGAGGAACACATTCAGGAGATCATCTTGGACACTCTGGCACCATGCCTGCAGGAGGATGCCAGTGAGGCTCTAGATAGCCACGCTGTGCCCTGTTTTAAGGAGAAGCTCCTCAGTGAGAACCACCAACTGCGCAGCAAGGCTGCTCGGGCACTCATTGCTATCAGGTGAGGTGTTTTGTGTTGACCAAGCGGTCAACCTCCTTGAGTTTCTGCTGAGGGCCAGAGAAGGCCACCAAGCTACTCCTGGCCTATCAGGAGATCAGCAGTGGGGCTTCACCTAGCTACATCTGCCAGAGAACCCAAGTGCATCCACCCAGGCATACTTCCTCTAACTTCCTTGTGCCCTGGGGGAAGGGGACACTGGGTCAGAAGAATACCCTTTTCATTAGTGTGACCGTGGTGCCTGGCCTGAGATTATGCTATATCCCAGGAAGCTCTCTCTCACTTCCATCCTGGACAAACCTAGCTAATTGGTCACTTCTCCATGAGGAAGGCAAGCGGATGAACTCCAGTGATGATGATGATAGCCAGTGGTCGTTAAGTATGCAAACATGCCAGGCACTGCCTATAAAGTCAACGAGGGTCAGACAACTGCCCAGGAAGGAGGCATCTATCTGCCTGGAGAGATGAGAAGGTGGAAGCCTGAGTTCCAGTCACTTGCTCAAGGTCACGTAGGATCACAGTCTAAATCTGGGCCTGACAACGGAGGAAGAACGGAACCTCCAAACAGTCAGTCCTGTGTCTCAGGAGACCCCTTTGCCCACACCCCCTCAGTTCAAGAGGGAGGGAAGGCCTTGCCATCCCCTCAAGCCCTGGCTTAACTTCTATCAGGGAGTCTGGCTAGGGGGCCAGGCTGGTATTTCTGGTGGGCCTGCCCCAACCCCTGGGACGCTCGCTGGTTTGGAATGCTCGTTATGATGCATATTCTCAGACCCACCCATAACTATCACTATCAGGTCTGCGGCCGGAGGTCCCCATCCAAGGAAGCTCCAATGACAGAACTGTACCAAAGTGCTGCTTCCGCCCAGCTCCCCTGGTCTTCCCCATCAGCCTGTCTGTCTGTGTTCATTCCACCCCTTACGATTTTGTGTCACCCACACAGTGAGTCTGTTCTGTTTGCTGCTGTAGACTAAGGGCTAGATGATGTGCTCCCCAAATGTCAAGTGCCGAGAGGCAGATAAACGTAGCTCTCACCTCGGTGTCTGGACTAGTACTCACCTCGGGTCGCCGAGTAAATGAGCTCAGGGCAGTCCCGTAGGTGAACCCAGGACTCTGCGTCCTTGATAAATTGCCCCAGGGTAAAGACTGATAAGCCCAGAAAGCCAACAGCATCACAGTATCGCTGAGAAGTGGCTGCTGGATCTGTTTCCTGAACAGTGTTCCCATAAAATACCTATGTCTTTGAGGTGTTCAGAGTTCCGACAAATGAGAGTTCAGTGGGCAGTGAGGTAGGGAAATGGCGAGCCAACGGTCAAGCTGAAGTCTGTTTGTTGGGATGTCGGTGCACTGTGTGTGACATTACCAGCCTGAGCCCTTCTCTTTTGGGGGCGATAACGCTGGCTCATGGTTTAGAAGCTCTTGGGAAGTTCACTACCCTCCTTTTCACAGCTTCCTACAATGCTGGAACAGAGTGAGCCTGCGGTTGCTCGCCTCTCCCCTGGTAAAGAAACCAACTCAGACAGAGACAGACTGTCTTGCTGTGGGGTCTTACTCTTCCCCATAAACACACATGTCTTCATTTCTGAGCATGGCTTAGAGTGACGCTCATTCCCCCCGGGTACTCTTTATCTCTTTCAGTGGCAGAAAGTCATACTCCCAACACAGGTTCTGTCTTAGTGTGTGTCCTGGGACATTCCCAGGCCTCACCTCCTTTTGTCCCTCTCTCTGCCATAGCATCCCCTTGGAGGGCAAGCAACAGGTGTGGCAGCATGAAGTCATTCCTATCCTGGTGGATCTGTTGTTGGATCCTGATGAGGAGGTACAAGGTAATGTGGCTGGGGCCCTGATGCACGCAGCAGTGACCACTGAAGGTAAGACAGAGGTGCCCTTTGGATTCCTGAGGCTGGGTGGGTGCAGGCAGAAGGGAAGAGTAAGGCCCCTGGCTTGCCAGCATCTATAGTGAACTTTCCAAATGCTTCCTTCTCACGTCAAGGGCCAAGTATGGACCTCTCAGACCTCTAGGCTCCATCAAAATCCACTTGTTGGTCTCTCGCTAAGGACCTTTTAAAGTTTGGTCCAAAACTTAGACCTCTCTCGTCTTCTTGGACACAGTGGGCTGCCAGTGATTTCTCACAAGCCACTCACTTTCGGCCTGTGCCCCTCTACACCAAGCTATTTCCTTCGCCTAAAGACCTTGCCTCAGACTCAGGTCTCCTTGAACCATTATTCTGAGATTGATTAGTTTGGTCTCTATAATTCTGTTATTCCTGGGGTCGAAGCAGACCCCAGAGCCCTTGGCTTTAAGTGTTCCTTTCTTTAAAAAAAATAATGTGTGTGTGTGTGTGTGTGTGTGTGTGTGTGTGTGTGTGTGTGTGTGCGCGCGCGCGCGCGCAATCATATGCCTCTTCCCCTGGAGCCAGAATAACAGGTGCTTGCTGTGGGTGCTGGGAACAGAACCCGGGTCCTTTGCAAGAGCAGTACCACACTCTTAGGCCCTGAGCCATCTCTCCTTTTTGTGTTTCTTGGTCGTAACTACTTTTGTTAAGCTGTGGTATAGGGCACATACTAGAGGAAAATCTTCCCCTGAACCCCTCAGGTCAGGATTCCCAGGCAGCAGACATCAAGGCTAAGCCACCCAACCACTGGCTGAGGGAAGGGACCCGAGGTAGACTCTACACACCTGACAGACTAGATGTGACGTTCTTCCTGTCTTGCTTCTCATAACTTCTGAAAGCCATCTGGCCTTCCTGACTACTTCATTCATACCCACCCACTCCAGGCCTGTGCATGATGCTCTCTTTATGTTTCCTGACGACTCTGGAGGTCTTGGATTTATAATCAACATGGCTCCCCCATGGACCCCCAATAGTAGAATTGAGACACACAAGGGGAGAGGTTGGGGCTTTTTCAGAGTCTACAATATCTTTTCGTCATTCCTCCTTACTGAGGCAATTCTGACTGCATGTGGAGGAGGGCACCCTATGTGCCTTCACATGGAGGGGGTACCTCAGTCCAAGCTTATGTGGGAAGATTTGGAAGGCCAGGGACCCATTAGGCCTTAGCCAATGGCTAGAGACACAGAGGCCAGGACCCAGGGATATGTCACCCTTTCCCAGCTAGGTCTCTGAGTCCCTATCCTAAGTTGGGCCCTGAGCTGGACGATGGAGCATAGAGGTCTTGGCCTTGGGTATCTACAGTTGTCAGAAGAGGCAGAATCATGGGAGATGTGGAGAAGCCAGCATTCAGGGGGTGGGGCATAGGGCAGGTACCCAGCCTCCTCCGAGAGCAGCTGGAGGGCCCCACCGCTAAGCTGCACCTTGGCACCTAACCGTGTGTGTTTTGTGCCAGGTGCAGAAACTGTGGCTCAAGAAATGCCTGCCACATAGACATGTGATTGATTTTTTTTCCTTTTTTTTTTTTTAAAAAAAAAATACTGTGTATGTTGTCTTACGAAAGCTGATTACAGGGGAGGCCGCGGGGTGACACGGCGAGGCTGGTTAGGGAACCGAACAGGCAGAGGAAGAAATGGATGGCCCAGGTTGGACTCAGCGGAGCAGTGCAGCAAAGACAGAGGGCCAGAGGGGGGAAGAGGCTGGGTACAAGTGGCATTGCTCTTTAGACATCCTGGGTAGCGGGACAGGGGGAGACAGCCCCTTCAGTGCAGATGACTGGGAAACCCAGGGTCTGTGGCCCACAGGGAAATACGCGGCCCTGGATGTGGATGCCATCGCCCCGCTCCTGGAGTTGCTCTGCTCTACAACACAAAGCAAGGTGTGTCTGAATGCCATCAAAGCCCTCACCATGCTGGCTGAGGCCCCCGAGGGCCGCAGGTTACTGCAGCCCCACCTGCCTACCCTCCGGGTCTTCCAGCAGCACAAAAACGAGGCCATACAGCGGGCAGCCCAAATAGCCATCAAAGTGATTGAGTGGAAGCCATGACTTCCTTTCAGGCCAGACCCGAGAGGCTGTCTGTGGGCCTGAATAAATGAATTGAATCTCCTATGCCGGATTTCCCATGTCACTTCATGTTCCTAGAGCAATGTCACAGCTCTCTCTCTCCTGCCAAAGAAGAAACACTAGACCCCAAAAAGGACCTGGTTCTGGGAAGCACAGGTCCATCCCATGGTGTGGGGTGGGAGGAGGTAGCCCCGACACAAATATTTTCTGCTTGGATCCAAAGTCCTTATAGAAGGCAGATAGCAGAGCTGAGCCCTCCAGGGACAGGGGTGGGAGGCGGGGAGTTGGACTGGGGGTTGGAGGGTTATACAGTTGGACCAGGCACCAGCTAAACATAATACCTTTGACTGATTAGGACCTTGGGGTACAGCTGAGCATGGTTTTGCTGAGCGCTTCCACCTATAGAGAGACCAAGGTACCCCATTAAGCTACGTTCACCTAGTCCTGCCTGAACGGTCAGGTTATGGATGTCCTGGTTTACAAGTGAACTAGTGTGCCCAGCATCCATTGGAGGAGCCACAGAAATAGAGCAGGACTTCAAGGCTGAGCCTCTGGTCTGGGACTAAGCTGGACCCTCCTCTCTCCCCCCAAGAGCCTGTTCAAACTCCTTCCTCACCGGTGAGAAGTGATGTTTGAGAGGACTGCTCAGAGTAAATATTATCAGAACCAGAACCCCAAGAACCCAAGTAAGACTTTCCCCACTGTCCTTTCAAGGAGGCTCAGAGACCCTCCTGGTTATCAAGAGAAACACCGAGAAGTGTGTGTCCTGGAATTAAAGGATCAGCTCAAGTCGGCCCTCTTGTACCAAAGGGGACTGGCTACTGGATTCAAGTGGCATTTCAGGTGCGATCCTATTTTTAAAAACAGACCACATGAAAGGAAACCATTCTCCTCCAGCAAAGCAGGGGCCCCAGGACCTCCGTGGTCTCACGTTCTCATCGTGCCTCAATCCACAGCAAGCTGACCCTGTTCCTGCCACAGGGTCCAGCCAAAGTCAGCAACACCCTGCTCCCAGGACCCTGTGCATTTGGTGTCGACTCTGGAACCCTCTTCTGTGACATGGCCCCACGTGTGGGTTTAGATGCAGACCATTTCCCCCCACAAAATCCAATCCATGTGACTGTGTGGGCCCCTCTCCCAGGTCCCTTTCTAGCTGGGTATGACTTTCTGTTTTCTCGGCCCCAAACAGTGTCTCTAGCCCCGGACTGTTTTAAGCGCTGGCCCCTTATGTCCAACAGAAACTCTGCCCTTAAATGTCTCCAGGCAACAATGAACACCAGTTATTCAGAAAACATTTCAAAAAAATAGAGGAGGAAGGAGTATTTTTTTTTTAAACATGATTTTTAAAATTGATTCTTTGGGAACTTCACATCATGCACCCCAGTCCCATCCACTTCCCAGTCTTTCCTCCCGCCACCCTTGTAGTCCCCTCCCCCCACAAAAAAGAAAAAAAAAACCATTTTGTTCTTTTGTCTTTCCCACCTCTCCATCACATATTCGTTTGTCATAGTGGCCTTGGGAGCTACGGCGTGTCCCACCGTCTACCCTTTTGCCCAAACAGCTGTACTTACAAATATTCGTTGCAACAAGTTGTTGGTCTGGTTCAAGACCTCTGGCTTCTAGGAAGTCATCAATACCGGACCTTCCCCCAGACTTCTGCTGTTGCCCCGAGTCATGGAGATCCTGCAGCTCTATCTCCATAGACCTGGTCTCTTCACTCGCTCCAGCAGGTCATCGATGGGGTACATGTTGGGGTGGACCAACTCAAAACCCTGGATGGCAGTTAAGTTGGTCAGTTCTGGCCTCTACTGGGACTGTCCACCTCAGGCGAGGGTCGGGGCCAGCTCTCCTATGCCTGCACCATTGGGGCCAGTTCTCCTGGGAGGTGGGGCAGTTCTCCCACTGGGAGGGGTGGGGTGTGTGTGGGGAGCAGTTCTCCAGCGCCCAGGCCAGCTCTCCCATGGCCCCTGGTAGTAACATGGGCCACAGACATCAACACAGACCCTGGCTGAAGTAGGACCATGGACCTAGACGTGGCCTTCAGTCACAGTTTTGGCCCCGATATCACCGTGGCCTCAGGTGGCAGCAGTGCAGGCCCTCAGATCAGTATGGCCCTGACACCAGCATAACCCTCATCCAGCAACATGGCCTCAGGTGGGGGAGTAAATATTATCAAAACCAGAACCCCAAGAGCCCGTGTAAGACTTTCCCCACTCTCCTTTCAAGGAGGCTCAGAGACCCTCCTGGTTATCAAGAGAAACACCGTGAAGTGTATGTCCTGGAATTAAAGGATTAGCTCAAGTCAGCCCTCTTGTACCAAAGGGGACTGGCTACTGGATCCAAGTGGCATTTCAGGTGATATGCCTGGATGACCTTTGGTGATAACATGGGCCCTGGACATCAACACAGACCCCAGTAGCTGTAGGGCCACAGACTCAGACATGGCCCTCAGCAGCAGCACAGGCTGGAACACCACACAGCCCCAGATAGCAGCGCAAGCCACCCATACCAGCCTGCTCCTCGCTGCCGTCCCATATTCAGTTCCTTTTCTCTCCACAGTGCATGAACCGCTCCACTTCTCCTTCCCTCCCATTTCTCCACCGCATACCTGTTCATCGTCTTCCTGCCCACCTGTTGGTAGGAGCATTATTTTGTTTTTGTTGTTTTGTTTTTCGAGACTGTGTAGCTTTGCGCCTTTCCTGGAACTCGCTTTGTAGACCAGGCTGGCCTCGAACTCACAGAGATCCACCTGCCTCTGCCTCCTGAGTGCTCGGATTAAAGGCATGCACCACCGGCGCCCAGCAGAAGGAGCATTTTTTTTTTTTTTTTAACTCCAGGGACAATCCTTGCTAACCTTGCCCTTACACCACAAAGAGAAATCACAAGAAGACTTTGGACCAACATGTCTTCTGAATAGAAAACATGAAAAATGTAGCGAACAAATTAGTGAGACAAATGTAACAACTTGGTAAAAGTATTACATATCAGGGCCAACCAGGGTTTAAATATCTCAGGAAGGGACGTGAAAAACCAATCAAGGTACAAGAGTCAAAAAGATCATTCCACAAAGTCCAATATCCATTTGTGGTTAAAAACGAAACAAAAAACTGTTCTTAACTTAGGAATCTTAGGATAGAGGAAAACTTCCTCTATAGACCTAATGAACACCTGCGAAAATTCAACAGCTGGCCTCATATTAATAACTTCTTACTCCTTGAGATAAGGAACAAAACAAGGACCTCTGTTTTTGCCACTTTGGTTCAGTGTTGTCCTGGAGATTCTAGACAGGACACACATAGGCAAGAAAAAAAGCGGGGGGAGGACATCCATATCTTTTTTTTTTAAATGAGCAAATGATTTTATCCATCAGTTATATACCAATCACTATACATCAAATTATACCATCACTATAAGAAAAACACTTTAACTATAAGAACTAACAAGTTCATCTTTGTGGTGGCATCAATATACAATTAGTTACATTTTCTGTCGACTGACTGTGAATAGAAAAAATGAAACTAAGAAATTTTTCTCAGTAGCATCAAAGAATAAAATAAGTTAGAATAAATATGTGCAGGATAGATTGTTTCTTTTCTTTCTTTATTTTTGATGCAGGCTAGTCATTTGGGAAGAGGGGAACCCCAACGGAGAAAATGCCCTCACCAGATTGACCCATGGGAAAGACTCTGCTTTTTTTTGATTGATTGATGTGGGAGGATCCAGCTACTGGGAGTAATTCCACCCTGAGGCTGGTAGTCATGGCTGACATCAGAAAGCAGGCTAAATAAGCCATAAAAAGTAAAACAGTGCTCCTTCTGTGGCCTCTGACTTAGTTCCTGCCTGCAGGTTCCTGCCTCTGAGTGCCTGCCATTTTTTCCCCCTGGACTGGAGATGACAATGTTAACTGAAATAAACCCAAGTTTCCCTCCCCCAAGTTGCTTTGGTCATGGTTTTGTTTGTTTTGTTTGTTTTGGGGTTTTTTTTTTTTTTTTTTTGTGTGTGTGTGTGTGTGTGTGTGTGTGTGTGTGTGTGTGTGTGTGTGTGTTTAAAATCACAGTAATAGAAACCCTAGGACAAAACCTAATAAAATAAATGCACAAGACCTCTGCACTGAAAATTAAGTATAGGTTAAAAGACCTTAAAGACCTAAATCAAGGGAAAGACAGACATCCCACACTTGCAGAGCAGAGACTTGATGCTGTCTGGCAGGAACACACTCATGCAGCTCATGCCACATGTTGGAAACAGAGCTCTTGTTTCCAGGGCTCTCCTCTCTCCTCTCCTGTTCTAGAATGGATGTTGTTTTTCACCTATATTCTCATGACTGTCACCCCGAACCCTCTGTGACGGTTTTGAAACTGATTGTCACCAGAGTCTAGAAACACCTAGGCGGAATCCTCCAGGCACACCTGTGGAGGATCATCTAGATTAGGTTAGCCTCTGGGCATGCCTGTGAGGGGTTATCTTGATTGGTTAATTGAGTTGGATAGACCCGCCTTTAAAGTGTATGGTAACATTCCTTGAGGCCGGGTACCGTTCGAGAATACACAATAGAAATCTGGCTGATGGTGGGCGTTGATCAACTCTGCTTCTTGATTGTGGATGCAGTGGGACCAGCTACCACAAGCTACTTTCACCATGGCTTCCAGGCTATGGTGGCCTGTAACCTTGAATTACAAGCCAAATTAAACCCTCCCTGAAGTTGCTTTTATTAGGTATCTTAGCTCAGCAACATGGAAGGTAACTAAGACCCCCTCTACTCCAAAGTTCTCCTCTTGGCCTTTGTACCAGTCTCCCAGAGGGTGTTCCTGCTTCTCCTTTCATCTCCCCAGCGAGCATCAGCAGATAGGATCTTATCACTTTCCTGTTCTAACTCTAGAGGACTTAGGATTCCAAAGCATACAAGGCCTCTGGTTGGGTTTCAAAATCTCTACCACCCATTGTCTTTGTTTGGGCATCCTCAAGTATGCCTTTCATTCTGGCCTCAAGGCCTTCCATTGTCCCTTCTCTTATCAACGAATTGACTCCTCCTTCCAGGGACTCTGGATCTGGGTGGGGATACCCGGCTGGGCATTCCTGTGGTTGTGCAGGATTCCTGGTGTGCACACCTGTGGGCTTCTGCCTGCCTCCCGATGACTGGGTTCATTTGCCGGCGCCCTCATGGTTTCCTGCTGCGAGGTGCAGTTAAGCAGGACCCTCTGCAAGGCGCGGTTCTGTGTCTTGAAAGTGAAAAGTCGCTTACGAAGGACATGCAAAGAGCACAAATGCAATATAAGCCATAGCCTCTGTTGTTGTTTTCTCTCTCCCATAGGCTGTAAGGTCTCAGAGCAATCCCTACGTGCTCTGTTCAAAGCTATTTCTGTAGGGGGTACAGCACAGTAGTAGTGACATAGAACTGTCAGCTGGAGACTTAAGGAAGGGATGAGGTATTGGCTCTTTGAGCATGCTTTGACTTTTCAGGATACTGGGTGGGCTTCCCCAAGATGCCTTTCTTAAGGATTACGTATTTAATTCGGTCTAAAAAGGAAAAAGGAGAGGCTAGGTAGTTCCCGTAGAGACAGACAGCCCAGGAGTGCCTATACCTGATAGCTGGCTCAACATCAAACTGGGGGAGAGCTTACAAGGAGAGTTTCCTTTCTCCCCGCCCTCCAAAAATCACTGTAGGAGACGCTAGTCAGTTGTCAATGGGGCGGGGGGGGGGGGGGGGGGGGGGGGGGGGGGGGGGAGGCTAGTTCAGCTACAGCCTCAGCCCTTCCTCTGGACCAGGCAGGAGCTGAAATTTCCACCCAGGTGGCAGCTGCTGCTCCTGGTCTGAATGGTCATCAGCACTGGGCCCAGCACCTGTGAGTTAGGGCCCCTGGCACCTCCACCTGGCCGGGGTGGGGCCGAGCTGACCACAGACGTCTTTGACACAACAGGACCACCTTCACGGATGAGACAATAAAGCAGCAGAGGGTGGGTGTAGGAAAGAAATCCTGCTAGTCTGGTAAACACAAGCAAAAAGTGCCAAACATATCAGAGATAAAAAGCCAAAATTAAATTTAAAGTGAAAGCCGTTGCTTATGAAGTAGAGCCATTTGGAGAAAATGACTCATCTCAGAGAGGAACAGATGTTCTCATTTGCATAGTCTCCTTAATCCTGAATGGACTTTGCTCTGTCCCCCGAGCATGCATAGTCCGCAGCTGGCGGCACTTGCAGGACACCAAGGGAGTGTTTTCATTAGCGTGGTCCTTGGTCCCATATTGTTGGGTGTCCTTGGAGGAAACGTTACATCACCATCACCATGAGGGGGTCTAGGAAAGGAAGCAGTCTTTCCTGTCCCCAAACTCCCCACTCCAGCTAGGCTGTGTTCGGCACAGTAGACACCTCCAACAACCAACCGTGAACACAAACAGGAGGACCCTTCCGGCCATGACCGCTCTCCAATGTGTCACC